ATTTTTTCTATCAACTCCTATTTCAATCCTCTCAACCACAGCCTCTTCCTGGGCCGTGCACCTCAGGACCCGGATCAGCCCCAGCCTGTCTTTAAACAGAAGTGAAGAAACGGGGTTGAACCTCCAAGATTCTGCCCTGCCCAAGGGGAGGCCTTCCTGGTGCTAAGCACCCCTGTGCCTCTTTTGTGGGTCCCTTTCCAGAAACCCAAATCTGCCTTCTAGCCAGTGCTGAGCCCTCTCCTTGCTTATAATCCCCACCCCAACCCCACTCCATGATGCTCACACTCTGCCATCAACCACCCACGGGAGGCCTGCTCGGTGTCAGGGCCCCGGCTGCAGAGAGTCTCCGTGTCCATGGGGGAAATGAGCTGAATGGGCGTGGACTCAGGTGCAGGTGCAGGTGCAGGTGCGGCCCACCTGGAGGGCTGAGGGGGCTTCTCCTACAAAACAAGGGTGGCCGAGAGCTGAGCCCCTCCACTGGAAACAGGAGATCACTTCCCTCCTGTGCCACTTAGACCCAGGAGACCTTGGGCACCTATTTCCCTGGAATGTGCCTCAGTTTCTACTTCTATCCAAAGGGATGGTACCAAGCGTGCTCCTAGAGTGGGCATAGGGAAACTAAAGCTCAGAAAACACATGTGACTTACTGAACTTCACACAGCCGGTAAGCGGCAGGTTTGTATAACCACACTGCCAAACTCACCTCCCAGGACTCAAGCAGTGCAGGCGTCAGCAGCATGGGTGACAGCCTGGGAAAAGGTGGCCACCGCCTGCCCACTCCCTTCGGGTGGCGGGCGTACACCCACTGCAAGTGTGCATTTGTGTGACTCTCACGTCCTCCGGCGGGAACATGACTTACGTCTCGTGGAGTTGGTTGCAGTACTAAGAAACCCTTTGCTTCTCTGCTGATGCTCAAAACCTCACGCATAAGGACCCGGCCCACTGCTCTGTGTGCCCCAGAGCAATGCGACAGTGTGTGTGGCTTGAGTTGAAAGGTTCCCGCCCCCGGGGTTAGAGCTCTGTTTAATTCTCCATTGGAATACATGGCCGTGAGGAGAAACCTCAGGCACATCTGGGTGGCTTGTCTTAGGTCTGGTGGTGTCATCAATCGCTTCATAGCACTCACAAAAGGCCAGCCGGTGTGTGTCCACCCACCCCTAGCCATCAGGGTGACAATGGCTGACACCAGAAGAAGAGAGAGGGTCAGTCTGGGAAGGCAAAACCAACATCCCTCCAAGAAGAGATCGGGCCTCCCTTCAAGCTTTCTCCTTGCTGGTCTCGCCCTAGACCCATGGGACCCATCCTGCTGTGGGTCTGCCGCAACCTTCCCATGGCCCTGTCTACTCTCCTCTGTGTCCCCAGTCACCACCTCCTTGCCCCGCCTTTGCCGCTGGGCAGTTCTCATCATGGCCCCTGAGAGAGTGGGTGACTTCTGCCGGCACAGGCAGTGATACACGGTGGACGAGAGGAGGAAGGAAAGAAGGGGAGAATGACCTGTTCGACATCTTCCTGATCAAACAATAAAAAGCCATCGCTTGTGTCAGGCTGCAAGCACCAACCCCTCTTCTCTACTCTCACCTTCGGGAAGCCAGGTGTCAGCTGAGTCTTTTCTGCTCTTCAAGGCCAGTCCAGCAGGCCTGGGTTGTCCTTGTTCACCGGGACACTGGAGCTGCTGGGAGAGGAGCCCAGCGAGAAAGCAGTGGTTTAGAAGAGCCCAGACCTGTCCATTCTCAGGCAGTAGGAGGACAGAGATGAGGAAGGGATCCTACCAGGACAATGAGGGCAGCCTCCCGAGGAGTAGGATAGGAGCAGCGCACTCCTACAAACGTGCACTCGTCCTACAAAGCCCTCACCTGCGTGTTACAGCCTTGTCTCTGGGGCCCCTCGTTCCTTCAGAGGGCACCAGACACTCTGGTCCCTAACATCCTTCCCTGCGTGAGTTCTTGCTCCTGGGAGACCAAGCATCTGGAGTGCAGAGTGTGGGAGCTGTCATCTTTCCATCCCCAAAGCGGATGCTTAACAAATTCTGACTGATAAATACCTGTGACCTGTCATTCCCATTGTACGGCCAGCTGGCGTTGTATGAGTTTCCCAAAACATTTTATTTGACATCACTAGGATATCTTTTAGGGAAGTGACTGACTCTAACAAAATACCTGGGATACAGCTGCTTGCGGTAGAAATCAAGATCTTGAAAACATGAGTCAGAGCAAAAGAAATAAGTTAATCGTAACACTGGGATCACCTCAAGAATGTGGGAAGGGGGAAAGAACAGGGGAGAGAGGAACGCGAGACAAAGGGAGAGAGGGGAGACCGGAAATTACAAAGGGCACTGGGAGGCTAGAGCTGAGCAGGTGGCCACAGAGGTCTTTTTTAGAGATAGAAATATTTGTCCCTAAAACTAGTAGCTGTGCTGCAGTTAAATGGTGCTGATCTGCACACCACTGGCCAAATCTGCACACATACAAGGGGTGATCAAAAACTAGGGTGAAGGAAGTCTCCTTCCCTGAGTGTCTTTACAAGGTGTGATCAGAAATATAGTTAATGCTTCTGTAAACGCTACCCAAGGGAAAGACAGGGCTGTAGAAACAACCTGCTGTACCTTCACCCACTTTATTCACCAGATCTGGCACTGTGTGACTTCTGGCTCTTCCCCAGACTCAACATGATCATGAAAGGGAAATGTGTTGAATGGGTTCAGGACTCTGAGGCAGCCACAGCACTAGGGACACTCACGACACCCTGTGTGAGTGGACTTATGGCCCCAGCCAGCAACGCAATGCCTTGGTAGACACAGTGAGAAATGGAAATCCAGAAAGAAAGACCAAAATCGTCTCTAAATGGCACCAACTCTGCCGAAGCAGGACCTCAGAGGCACTGGATTCCCATGCCCTGCAGAACGGGTTTGATTCAGCGAGCATGTGAGAGGCCAAGTCTCCACAGATGCCGCAACAAACAGAGGAACGTGGAAGGCGATGCTAAGTCTCTCTTGACAAAGTCTCTCCATGCCTTGCTCCCCCTTACTTCTGTCATGAAGCCAAGATCCTGAGAGCTGTGCACCCTCAGACCCCACCTGTAAACGTTACAGCCCGATTCCCTCCAATAATCCCATTTTAGGGGAGAAACCCGAGATGGTCCCCAAACACATGATACAACACTAATGCAAATTGCCCAGAGGAATCCTGAGGGATTGCAAAACAAAGCCAAGCCAACGACAACAAAAACCCTCTGCACAATGCCAAGAAGCTGAAGTAAGTTGTAATGAGACATCGGTAATTTTGTTTGGGAAAACAAAGAGTCCTATAACATGTGGCTTTTAAAAGAAAGTCATTGGACGCTCTCAGATAGCTTGAACAAAAGTGCCTGACAAAGTAGAAGTCATAACTGTACTTGCAGGTGTACGTCAAGTTCAGACATCTGGTTCCGGTTACCTGGCCCTGGCAAAGCCGCCAGGCCCAGTATTAGACATAACCATTCTTGCTTAATACTTTGTTCAAAGCCCCAGTAATTCATTGCTGAGATTGCGTTTCATGTTTAGGTTGTCTGGCTTCCTTTGTTCTTAAGAAAACAACCAGCCAATGCGAGCAAGCCAAGCGTTCTCAAGAATCATGAAATCACAGAAGTAAACACTGGGGGCTGCTCGGAAATCCAGACTCCAATCCTTCTGTTTTTCAGAAGATGTAATGGTGAGCCACAGAGAGTACAAATCGCCCCTAGGGCCAGAGGGAGAGAGACGCCAAAGGAGAGAAGGGGCGGCCGTTGGCAAACAACCAGAGAGAAGGTTCGCACAAAAGCATGCTTCCTGATTCCGTACCACTAGTAATTCTACCCACTGTTGGTTGTTTAGTTCTAGTTTGTAAAAAGCTCTCAACTGGATTCTCTTATGATACTCACAGTCTGCCTCTGAAAGCATGGATTACGGCCCACATGCTTTAGAATAGGAAAAATTCCAGAATTGGCCCAAGAACCCAAGGCTCTGGGCTGGTGAGGAAGTTAGCTGTATCCCTTTCACTGTTGAGGGTGGAAGGGTCACTGGGGAGGGGCAATCTGGCTGCTGATGGATGTCACCCAGAAGCTGCAGCCCTCCCCCAAGTGTGGCAGCAGAATCTGGTTTGAACCAGCTCTCAAGGCAAATCCAATGGGCATCCAGAGGGGAACCTTGGATCTGAGTAAGACTTCATGGTTACTGGACTGTGTGCAGAGTAATTTCCAGTCTCCTTTTTATTTCACACCACCCATTTGGTAAGGTAAAAAGCATAAGCTATGCAATGCAGTTTTTGAGTATTTGAATAACAAATGGATTGAGGTAGCAGAAAGACCTGGCTTTGATCCCCAGAAGGGATGGGACACTCAAGCAAGTCACGTGACCTGTCCAAACTGTGTTGTCCCAACTGCAGGAGCTGGTCAGAAATGAATGAACATTGGAGGGTGTTATGGTTTACATCAAACATGGCCCCAAAGCTCTAGTGCTCAGAGCAGGACTTCTGGGAGGTGACTGGATCACGATGCTGCCTTCCTGCTAGGAGGCGGGATCTGGTGGGAAGATTACTGGAGGCATGGCCTGAGGGTGTGTCTCCCTCCCTGGCTCCTCCCTCCCCACTCTGCTTCCCATGCGCCATGAGGTGAGCACATCTCCTCCGCAGGTCCTTCCACCGTGCCGTTTCTCCCTTGGAGCCAGCCAAGCCTGGAAAACGCAAGCCAAAATAAACCTCTCCTTCTTCATAAAGATTGCAAATGTCAAGTATTTTGTCCCAGTGAGGAGGAAAGTGACTAAGACATGGGG